ACAATGCCCAAGGGGTACGGGTATAAGGACACATTGCAGTTGGGCACTCACCGAGGACGTTGATAAAGGGGAAATCGATAGTTGTGCCGCTGGTAGAGCGACGACGCCAGTTCAGCAAGGGCTGAGGATAGAAGGACGCGCTCCAGGCGAGGAAATAAATCCATCCAAAGAGGCCTGAAAGGAACGTGAGGAACCCGACAGCCATTATTATCTACAGTCTCGTATCCTGGCGTTGTCACCGCGTCAAGGCTGAGATGAAGTGAAAAGTAACGAAAGAAAAAGAGGGGATTCGATGCTCATGAAAGAGAGTCGAGGTTGTTGAAGACTTGAGCGATGAATCGTGTGACCCTGGAGGTGAATGAATGAGTCCTGAGATGAGACATCTAGCGAATGGAACACTCATGTGCTCTGACGCCATCTTGGTACGTATTTTCGTGCCTTCCAGTACCAAATTAAGACCCAAAGTGGTTGCACAAGTGTGGCTGATATGTACCGACTGTGGCTGCATGAGCCAATCAGGAATAGCCGATCAATCCAACAACTCTAGCTTTCATCATGATGGAGATAATCTTGAACATCGAACAGCTAATTAATCGATATGACCCGAACCGGAGGGAACAGGAATACAGTGGGATGAAGAAGCCTTCAAGATTCTGATGCTTGCTTCACCTTATCATGATCCAAGCTTCATGTTACAGCTCATTCATCAACCACACGGAGAACATCCGAGCAGATTTTATTTCACCCAAATTAAATGCAACAATAACACCGAGAAAAGATGATGCTAATACTACAAGAATATTAGAAGCTTGGGCATCAACCCGTGAATCATAGCATCAAAGAAGCTTTCATGTACGGGAATTGCCCGAAGACGCCCTGACATCCTGAGCGAGTGGATACATCTTTCACTTGCACGCCCCCTCGAAGATCTTGTTTTCCTTTCTAGAACGTGTTCAACACGATGCTCTTCACCTTAGACCCTTGTCTCGGTAGCGAGCGGTGTGGGAATTGCAGAGCCGCAGTCGCAGCCGCAGTCGCAGTCGCAGTCGCAGTCGCAGGATGGAGTCAACGGGCCTTTGGGATCATGCCAGAAGTGAAAAAGCACGCCAGACAAGGCCAGGCGAGGCTCAAAATGTGGGCCCTGTAGATAGGTAGTGATGAAGAGAATCGGAAGAGGCCGGACACGATTTATATGAGACTGAGAGTCCCACGCGGGTTATTCTCTTGAGAGAGTTGTCGTCGTCGGTAGGATCGGAGCCGAAGTGGGCATCTTGAATCAAATGGAATGCGCGGTGACTTTCTTTTTGTATATTTTTACACTGCCGGTTGCTTAGTGCATCGTTGACTGTGGCTGCATTAGTACTGTTGCATGCCGTGCTATTTCCGAGCCTTGCTGAATCAGTGGTCTGGAAACCCACCTGAGTCGACTTATTCTGAGAGGAAAACATCAAACAATGGAGCTCGCAGGGGTTGAGGAGAACTGGGAATAGAGGCAGGTTGATTTGATGACGGCGTTGAGCCTCCGTTTGCGGCCGTCACCCCTCAGCCTCTTTGATCAAGATTGCACTCAACATTATGACATTGAGATGCCACTCATTTATCTTCCATGATTGTGACGTATGTATCTTGACGATTCCACCATCAACACTTGATTAGCCTTTTGAAGGAGAAACACCAATTAACCATTGCAAAGCCTAGACCCTGAGCCTATATCGCTAGAGGTTTAAACAAAAAGGGGCCCTCTCTGGCTCCCGATCTTAACCCTTGCCAAACTGTGGATTCAACGGCTGTTCCGTACGGGGCATCGCTCGGCACCGGGACGGTACTTGTCACCTTATGCTCAGCTCATGAATATCAGTCTCAGTCTCAGTATCAGTATCATTATCAGTACGAGTGAGTCTCAGTCTCATATCTGTGGCTGTACTAGACACGAAGATCCGTATTATTTCCTAGGCGCCCGGCATTCGGCATTCTGCAACTTTATGCCCTGATGCAACACCACAGCAATACACAGTTTAACAGTCACCGCCATCAAATCAAATCAATCTCTTGTTTTTTGACTCGTCCAGCACCAGGTAGTAAACTAATAGTCTGGTCTTCATGGCTGGCTGCACAACCTTTCCTCAAGAGATCGGCACTAGCTTATGCTCACTTCGTCAATTCAGCTCACAAGAGTTAAAGCCAGCGCGAGTCAGCTCAGCTTATCTCGCTGACAGGTATGGATGTATGCCACTAAGATCAAGACACATTTGGACGATAATTCAATCTTTCGGTCAACGTCACTCACCGTGTGATATGATCCATTCGTTGCAGGGCGTGTAGCTAAGATAAAGAATCTATGTACATATCTTCCACTGTGACCAATTGTCACCCAGAATTTCAATTGAGTGGCTCAGAAAGTGACCTTATTTCCCACACGATTACCAGCCAGCCATTCTGCATGTACCACCATCCCATCCCGTCCCGATCCTTGGTCTAACCCATGATCCCTGTAATCTTTTTAGTTCCTGGCCCTGGCGTCTCGTAAGTTCAAGGTCAGAACCTGGAAGGGTGTGTCCGTCAATCGGCCATGTCCACCACCACATCTAATAATTAAAGGTCAATTCTCTTGACTCACCTTGTAATGTCTAATGTATATATATCATCTCCTAATCTACTCCTTTCTTGGTTCTGCTTGCTTTCATATCATCTCAATAACAACATATCTTCACGCTCATCAATCTTACCATACCTATCATAAGACTCAACGCCTCAAAGATCGGCACTACAACATCAACACCACCATTGGATAACATCATTCAAGCCAACAACAGCTAGCCTATCTAGTCATTCATCAGTCTAGCAGCTCCCCCAACTTGATTTAAGATCTCGTCTACATCTGCTAGTCATCTCGACTCTACTCAATCTACTCTCAGCCGACTCAAACCACCACTTATATCACTATATTTTGATACCAACAATCACCATGGCCACTACTATCCAACAACAAGAACCCCACAAGACCGGCTTTCTTGACCTCCCAGTTGAGATTCGTCTGGAAATCTACGATGAACTCCTCCTCACAGCGCCTTACACCCGATGTGGCAAACCATGCCCTGAGCAAAAAGTCCACGCTTCTCTCCTCCGCACCAACCGCCAGATTCACGATGAAGCTACAGATCTTCTCTACGGCTGCAATACATTCCTCTCTCACCCCACACTGCTCACCTCTTTCCCCCGCCTCCGAAACTGGTACGGCCCCGTCAAGGAGTCATCCATCATCCCAAGCATCCGCCGCTTCCATACCCAAGTCCGCCTCGACGTCGACCTCCCCTACGACGCTGATGCTGTGACAAAAGCGTACAGCGGACTTGACGAGCTCACCATTGACGTTGTTCAGTCGATGTTCCTTGGCGTCGGATATCGCAATCTACGCATGTTTGAGGGTGTCAGGGGCGTCAAGAAGGTCAAGGTCACTGGTAGCACGACTGGCTTCGAGGACTACGTCGAATGGCTCAAGATGTGCATGATGACGGAACCTGGCGCCAAGGTTCCCGAGTATGAGCCTCAACAGCAAGCTGGTTGGATACAGAGACTAGCTACTGTTCACTATTAAGCTGCTTGCTCTGCTCTCTTCCCTTGTTCAAAGAGTCTGCTTCGGTGTATGGGTTTGTTGGAGTTGAAGCAATGGCGAACAAAAGCATTAACGAATTTGATGAGTCTGTCTATTCATTTAGGCTTTGGAGTTTTGGTAATTCAACAGGTGTTAGAAAATGGGAATTTGATTTAGAGACTCCCACTGCGCATGATGGAAAGGCGCACCAGACCAATTTCGGTTGTCAACTATGTTTTTGGCCCTTTATATATAATAGAATTCTATCCTTCTCTTAATTCTAGGAATTACAGATCAGAGTCTCGCAGTGTTTAGCAAAAATGAAACAATATGTATTCTTTGTTCTGCTGCATACACGCAACCCTCGGAAGATGGTGGTCGTTCAGTTGAATGAATACCTACTCACTACGCCCGCAGCTTTACCTAAGAATTATCACATCATAAGAACAAATGCATCAAAGTGCTAGAAATATATTATGTATTTTATGATTTATCATGTGTAACTCTTCTGAGAGCCACTGTGGGTCCGAAGAGCAACGCGATGTTGTTATTGTTTCGACCTAAACTCCTATTCCAAGACTCCCCTGCTATGCGATTGAAATATTATTCGTACCAAGCACGCTGTGTTCGTCGCTCAGGCGGCTGTGGACCTGGAGTCGCTACGCATGCAGCATCCCTGACGAGATGGCACATTCAACACACCTTTGAGACACAAGTCTCGAGTTATGGATGTTACTGCTCTAGCAATTATCTTAAACATATACGCTTCGTGAATGCGTCCTATTACACTTGATTCCCAGATGAACCACCACGCACAATACATGAACGCGCTGTATTTTCCACAAAAGGACTCAAACAAGCCATAATAAGTAACAATAACACTGAACTCTAAACATAACATATAGGTAGTAAAGGGTGGTAAAAATACAGCTCCCATCATGCCCTTTGAATGCCCCAGAACGCCGAGTCTGATGCAAAAGAAGCAGACGCTCTACCTCGCCCGCTCTGCTCCGCCAGGAACCGGATACCCGATTTATCTCTATCTCATCCTGCTTCTTTTTTTTTGTATCCCATCTTCCATCTATCCCCGTTCTTTTGTCTTTGTCTTTCGCTCTAAATGAAAACATAGATTCAAAAGAGAGATTTCATCGCCCAAAGGGTTTCGGTCTTGCTGGGTATTGGGTTCGATGCAATATCTCCTCGGCTTTGTCCGGTAATTGACACGGGCGGGTCGTGCTCCGGACATCGAAGCCCGACCATGGGCCGTTTTGGAGGCGTAATGTAATAGCCGAGCACTCACCGGACAATCGCTTTCGTAAATCTTGCATCCTCTTTAACCTCAAGCAAAACCCTCAACTCATCCATTTTCTGGATTCTCCCGGTCATTTCTATCATTTTGTCCATCGATCTACTGACCACCACCGCCCATGATCTTGGGCAGCGATCGCCAGCCCTTCTCGTTGGGAAGCTTCACCTTGCCAAAGTCCTCGTCAAGATCAAGGATCACTTTAAGGGCGTTGCGGCTGCGACCATATGGACTAGTGTCCAGGCTGCCCTTGACCGTCGATACAGCATCTGACACTCCTGTAGGAATCTTGTCCTTCTGAGTACCAGGCATGGGTAGAAGAGTCTGAAGAACTTCATACGCAGCAAGGGTGAAGCCGAACTGAGGAGAGGATCGGAAGATACGCGCGGGGCCACCCTTGAAGAAGGCAGTGAAGCCCTCCTCCTTCCAGATTGTCTTCGCGGCGTGTCGCAGACCGTTATATGTGGCCTCGCCCTTGCGGGCTTCGACCTGAAGTCGGGTCTTGATCACATCACAGGGTGTCGTCAAGTAGGCGGCGGGCATACCGGCAATCGCACCAGCAGTCAACAGCTGCACAACACCCAGCTTGTGGGTCGGAGACTCGCCAAAGAAGTCCTTCTTGAGATGGCTGTAGGTAGGGAAGTAGATGGCCGAGAAGGGAACGTCACGGAGCAGACACGCCGAAGCACCCTTGTACAATCCAACCAGACCCAGGTTGCGCACGATCCACATGGCCGATCGCTTCGGTGTTCCTTCGACGGTCTTGGCGACTTCGCCCTGAACTTGGAGTCGAATCTTGACGATCTCGAGAGGGTTGGTAAAGACCTATAGTAGGCTGGTCAGTGGCGTTTCTATCATGTTAGGGATTATTCAATGGACTTACAACTTGGCAGGCACCAGCAGAACCGCCAGAAATCATCTCGGACAAGAGTGTGATGTTGCCGTTCTTATCAGTGAAGTACTTTCGGGCAAGATCGTTCACGGTCAGCTTGATGGCCTTCTCTGGAGCAACACCAACTAGCTGGGGTAGCACGCCCGAGTAGAGACCACGAAATCCCTCATTACGGATGACCTTTTGGAAACAATCAATCGAGTTCTTGTAGAGGCGCTGACCGGGCTGGGCGCCTCGCTGATTCTGCAGTCGCGTCTTCACCAAATCAATGGGGTACACCATGAAGGCACCAAAGGCACCGGCAACACTACCCAAAGCAAAGTTGTAACCCGAGGTCAGAACACCCATCAGAATACCACCACCAGCAACCTTGGCCTTTGTAGCCTCGACGGCGTCGTAGATGGGGTTCCGCCACGAAGGATCCAGGACCTTTGCGAAATCGGAGAGTCCCAGGCGGCCAGAGGGCTCGTCGAGACCAGCAAAGTGGAAAAGGATGTCAGCTTCCATAGGCGTGAAAAGAGAGAAGCGCGTGAGCTTGGCAGCCTCGTTCAGGAACTCAGGACGAGTGATCTTGCCGTCCTTGCTCTGGTCAATGGCACGGCGCAAGATGAGCTCAACAAGATCCATCCCGCCGATGACGTTCTGGAAAGCGCGCACATTGGCGTATGAAATCTTGGAGCCAATGGAGAGGTTGACGAGAGTGTGCAGATTGTCAAGAATATGCTCAGACAGCTTGTGGCGGGCAGTCTCGACAATGATGCGCTCAAACTCCTCACCACTGATGAAACCATCGCCGTCCTTGTCAAGCTGGTGGAAGGCCTGCCGAATGCGCTCGCCTTGGAGACCGCGCAACATTTGGCAGAACTGAGGATAGTCGAGAGGGTGACGGTGCTTCTTGTTACCAATGTAGATCTTGGCCCAGTCGGAGTCCCAGTCGAAGGTTAGGTTGTCGGGGCCCTTGTTGAGCTCGTACAACGTGCGGAAATCGTCATACTTGACAGAGCCGGTGCGCTCAACGTCAAAGAGGCGGAAAGCGATCTGATACTCGGCATCCGGCTTGTTCAGGAGGTGCTCGAAAATACCCCAGTCAGCAAGAGTCACTTTGCCCTTGCCATTGACATCCGCGACGCTGAATAGAATGGAATATTGATCACGAGAGATCTTGTGCTATTTTGGGTGTGGTTAGTAAGTCCTCATGAGTATGCAAGCTTGGATACAGCGTGCTCGAAGCAGGAGTTCGTGACTCACGTAATCCTCACCCTCAGGCGCAACAGCGTTGATAAACTCGTCGGGTCCGAGGTACAGTTCGCCTGTCTCAGGGTCCTTGATAGCATGCTTGGTGAAGCGCGCCTTGGTGTGAGCAGCAAGCTGTTCAGGTTCTTGTGTGCCGATGACGGCCTCCTTGACGGCCTCCTTGGCCACAGCAAGCTTGGACATTGTTGTATTGTAGTCGCTCGGAGGGGTAAAGAAAAGCTCCGAAAAGGATGGATCGAGTTCACAGCAATTGAGTTGTCGGAAATAATCGAGCGATGCTCAGCAGGTCACAAACTGAGGTGTCCAAGGCGACTCGGAGACGAATTGGATTCGTAGTGTCCACTGACAAGTGGTCCGACAACGGCTGAACACGACGAAATTCTCTGAAGCAACGCAAATAGCAGAAGCTAACAAGAGGCAGAAAGAGGTGCAAAGGACAAGATTTCCCTCGAACGATCGAAGTCGGCGGCAGGAGGAGGATGTCGGAGACGTATCGATGTAGCGAAAGGGAAGCGAAACGAAGAGAAGCAGAAGCTGAAGGGGAGAGCAAAATGCGTCAATTGGGGAATTTCGAGATGGAGCGAAAGATGAGATAAATTTGCTATTCACTGGGTACCTAGGCCAGGCCGGTGGTTGGTCCGGGCGGGGGGGTGTGCTGTAGCGGGTGTGTGTCTGTGTTTGCGCCTGCCCCAAGTTGTATCTCAGCAGCTCCCTTCCATAAAAGTACCTAGAAAGTGTCCTAGCCCTCGGGGTGCAAGAAGACTTCTAACGTTCAATGGAGGTGCCAAAATTACTTAGTCTAAGATTCACTGAAGCTATACTAAAGTTATAAATTTATCTAAGCTGATCTAAAGATTTTTGTCACCTAAGATAGATGTCCTAAGTTTTATCACACCCCTTGCCTAGCTAATCGCTATTTCACTTGCTTCTTCCACTGAAGCCCGTCAGGTTGGAAGCAACGCGGGGCTTTGGTGGTCTGAAGTCCGGACCAGCGGACAGGTATAAGGCGGACCGCTGCAAGCGCGCTCTCTTTTTTTCTTTGTTCTCTTTAAATTGATGCCTTGCCTGAAGACACCTCTGGAGACAGATAGTCCCGCCTCATATTGACAAGTTCAGGAGCATGCACCAATGACACGAGAGCAACAAGAGTCGCCAGCATCAGTCAACGATCTCAAAGGAGCCCAGAAACGACCAAATGCCAGCTCAAGTGACGGTACCTTGAGATACATCATCTCCTCTACGTGTGGGCGTGCATACATATCCATCTAATGGATCTAATCTGTGGACCCCTTCCAAGTTAGCACATCCCGGGCACCTCCTGGGCAAGGTCTTTTAACGAGCCTGGATATCAGTGGTTGCCTCAAAAGTTGAGCCTCAAGAAGGGAATCATGGTCAACTGCCAGACTCCTGAGCGCCTCACACTCGCACAGATATCAGTAGCTATGAGAATATACACCTGATATGAACTGTATACAAGGAAACCCATTGGGCATGGTCTCTCCAGAAGAATGCCGTTTCTCTTCCGTAACACCGGGAAAGCTCCCTTCCCCGATCCCGGGGTGGCATATCGTTGTGGAGATGGACCCCAGGACTGACCCGCCTAACCGGAGTTCGGAGGAGCGCCAACTGCTTGATTCAGCACAGTCCAAGCTATGTATTTTTGTTTTCATTAACGATCCTCAGCACAAGACGTTCTCATGCTATGGATGTATTGACGATGTGTATGGACGGCAAGGCTTTCATTTCTGATCTTGAACCAGTGACCGGGTTTGGATTTAGAGGTCATACTTCGTTGCCCAGATCTTCCTCTACCCTTCCGGGTCTCGCAGCCTTCTCTGACGTGGGAGGAGCGAGTCCCTTGTCTCTCATGTGAAATGTCGAAAAATCATATGTGCCGTCGCGGTTCCGCTGGACCGTAGCGCAATCTATCATGCTGCAGGGCATACAGATTCTTCGGTACGGAGTCATTAACGATGATCCCCTGATAGTGTTTAATAAAGGCTCCTGATGTACAGAGTAAATTCTTACTCACCTGCTCTCGCCTAGTTAATATACGATATCCTGTGCCCCAGACTCGGAGTCGCGGAGGGTTTGCCCGCGCTTGCGACAGCGGACAGGTATCCATGTTTCCAGAATAACAGAAGCCCTCCCTCAAATCTCTTAGACGTCACATGGTACCGATGGACTCTCTAGTGCAGCCTTGGGACCTGGTCATTTCAAGTGGAATCTTTCTTCAAGCACACCTGGGTCACGAGCACTATTCAATGCTATTCTTTGACCAAATCTGGCCAAGGTGAAACTCCAACAGAAGCCATTTTTACCACGATTCGCTGTATCTTCCAGACTGTTAACCCTCGGTTTCTCCATCAGGGCATGTAACCTTGCAGACCCGATTGCCAGTTTGCCATCATCTGTAAGGCTAACTTGCTCGCGCGCCTATCAGAATACTTGCTGCCACTTTCAAGAACCCTGGCTTACCTAGGTATCCGTGGGCCAACGGGGAGTTCGTATAAATAGGTAGGTAAGTAAGTAAGTAGTAGGTACTCTGTAGTCTGGTAGGTACTTGAGTCTACTTCTTACGACTCCATGGTATTGCGGAAGCCCGAAATGCCGGGAATTCCCGGTCACCGCAGAGCAACTTTCCTGGGGCACTCCCACGACTAGCCTAAGATATAGACTATCCCTTGTTCTAGTCTTGTTAGTGGGCGCTCATACCCAATAGGAAAGGAGAATCCTCCGTGGGGAAATGTCGGGGTTTTTAAGCTAGGGTCGGGGTAAGCTCGCCCTTAATGTATTCCTCAATATGATTAAAGTTAGCGGCAGGTTTCGTGATCTTTTTCTTTAGTCCCGTATGCATAGATCTTCTACATGATAAAAACTTATATAGATAACAAGTCATGTGATATTATCATATCTTCTCTGACTCAGGCGACCTACAAGATGCATTACACGACGTTGTTCTATCTCGGTATTTATACAAGTCGACCGGCAAATGAGGGCCATTTATGTTAGAAGACAGAACCCGCCTTGCAAAATGTTGAAGAACCCCTTAACATGATAAAGACATGCCCCAGCCTAGGACTGAAGCAGCATATGCAAAGCGCCGCTGGTCCGACGTACTAAGAGGCACAAGGAACATCAATTGACGATATTGAAACAAGAGAATCGAGGATTAGATACCATACACGCGTCCAGAGCCTCTACTAATCTATATGCTACTGTAAATGCAAACTTGGGGCCTATGGGGTTACTGGCGATAGTGGCAATGGTGATCATGGCTGATTGTATCTCCATCCCACTTACTCTGGTCTATAGTCGACTCCATTCTGGTTGAAGTCGTGAGCCCCCCACCGCTCAAAAGGCCAGCCTCCCCCAACGGACCCTGAAGAATCCTCCATACGCCTTCGTCCCTAGTCCATATCCCACTTGCAATTGCATATTTGCAGTCGCATGTATGTAAGTTGATGGTGGTGGAGGAGACCGTTCCCGCAAACGCCGAATTCCGAAAATGTATTAAACCAGCCAAATAGGCAATAAAAGATGATATAATCGCAGTCGCACAATCGTGATATTCGTAACAGTCATCCAGAGTCGTTATACAGTATTTGTACCTTTCCCTCCACTGCTTTCCCCTCCCTACAAGCTCGAGAGTCTGGGGTTGACGCAAGGCGTTTGATGGAGAAGAGGAGTCCAGGGGATAGCATGTGGGGGGTGTCGCCGCTCATATTAAGTTGTTGTGTTGTGCCCAGCCCCGGCCGGGTATTAGTAAACAGTTCGTGTCAAAAAGAACCACCGTCTTTAAGAGTAGGGCAAGGAAAAAAAAGCCCAACCAAGAGCGAAAAAAACAGTAGCTTGTGTCGAGACAGAGTCTGAGGTAGATAATTAGGGCTTGTCCGAAGCTGGCCGCACATGCTGTTCCGGTCCGGTTGAAGTGCCAAAGATACCCCGGTCCGGTCAAGTATCAACGCAACGACAACAAGAGTCAAAGCACCTCAATCGTCGGTGTGGCAGGCCGCAATGCTCGACGCCAGGCTGGAGAAGAGAAGAAACGGCGAGAAGTTGATGGGCGCCATGCACCAGAAAGAACCCCCACAACCATGTGCCAACCGGGTCACGATGGCTTCTTATCCCTCAATGGGAATGAGTTGGGGCTGCGCAATGGACAACTCAGTACTGGCTTCGCGATACCCTTGAAGCTCTCGGCGAACGGGAGATAGCTGGTGAGGAAGAGTGAAGCCAGTATCGAGAGCTTCTTGCACTAACAAAGATGCTCCCTTGTACCGGCGGTCCGTATACTTTTCGAAGACGGCGGCGTGGTGCTGGTCCGGACGATCACAGCATTCGATCATCATCGTCACCAAGTTCTTCAACTGACTCCAGGTATAGCCCGAGTAGAAGACATGCTGCTTAGTCTGCAGTGCAAGTTAGCATGCATAATATATGAGCATGGTCATGACTCCAACTTACCCAGTCACCCTTCTTGAGAATGAGTCGAGAAAGACAATGTGCACCTGCAGCCAGGAAGCTAGGGGGGGATGCCACGAAACGCTCGTCCATGATGGTCAATTCCAGAAAGTATTTGGCCAGGGTTCGAGTCTCAAGATCATAATCATCTGCTTTGCTAACACGTCGCAAGAAGCTCATGGGCCCTGGCCAACCCAGCTCGAAGCTCAGCATACTAAGCATGAAACGCTCGGCCTTCAGAACTTCGTCGGCAGTGTAACCATTGTCAACCATGTAGACGATCTCACCCAAAGAAGGACAGTTAATCTCTTCGTACTTGGAGGCTACCAAGATTGCGGTGGCACCGACAAGCTGAAGCTTGCCAATTGAGACGATCTTTTGGGAAAGGAAACGGTCGATGTAGTTGACTGTTAGGAAAAGCGTCTCAGGCAAGAGACCAAATCGGTTGTGAACCTGTACCAGCCAGTCCATTAAGACTGATCGCATTGACCACTGAATCTCGGTTTGGTTATCCATGTAGTGCGCGTTAGGAAGCATTCTGATCTGCAAAATGTTGTTAGTTTTGAGATTGTAGTAAGGCAGACATGACCCTTTACCTCAAGCTCGCGCATATACTCGAAAATCTCGTCTCCATACTCGGCAACCATGCTGACATCCCAAAGCTCTTCTTCAACCTCGTCTTGTGTGCGAGTACGCTCCACCTCTTCACGTGCATCCTC